AGCCTGACATGGGGCTCAGAACCTTCACTCCAGTGGGTGGGCTTCTGTGGTATAAGTGTTCTCTAGTTTGTGAGTCACCACCCAGCAGTTATGGGATTTGATTTTATTGTGATTGTGCCCCTCCTACCATCTCATCGCAGCTTCTCCTTTGTCTTTGGATGTGGGGTGTCTTTTTTGGGGAGTTCCATTGTCTTCCTGTGGATGATTGTTCAGCAGTTAGTCGTGATTCCGTTGTTCTCGCAAGAGGGAGTGAGCGCACATCCAGGTTTGGGTTTTTAAAGTGCTTGAAAAATGTGAGACCAAGGGAAGGTGGAAGGCAGGTGGGGTGGTAGTTATCGAGAGCGTCTGTGACTTGATTTCAGATCTGAGCTCTGAACTCTGGCCTGCTGGGTGTCTTTGCTGAGTCCCTTGACCTCTCTGGGGCTCAGTTTCCTCACCTGTAAAATAGGGCTCATAGTAACTGACCTCCCCTTTACGTGGTCTTTATTCGTTCAGTCCACTTCATGTGGAAGGCACTGGGAAACATAGCACACATAATCTCTGCCACAAGCAGGTGGGTACAGGGGGTCCTGAAGTGCCCACCCTGCCACCCCACAGCTGCAGTCCGAGGAGCTGGGCCTCCGGGCGCCGCAGTGGGTCCGTGACAAGATGGTGACGATGTGTATGCGCTGCCAGGAGCCCTTCAATGCCCTGATGCGCCGCCGCCACCACTGCCGGGCCTGCGGCTACGTGAGTACCCACCTCGGCCTCTGCCTTCCCAGCTCAGGCCCTGCCCTCCCATCCCTGCCAACCCTGCCCGCTTCAACCGGTACAACCAGAAGCGCTGGGCGCTAACTGTGCCAGGTGTGTGAGTTACCTTGTTTGGACCTCATGGTGCCCACGTGTGAAGCAGGTCGGCTGTTCGCCCCATTCTGCAGGTAGGACGCGAGGCTCAGACAGGTTAAGCGACCTGCTCAAGACTATCCCCAAAGCTGACCCTATTCATTCATCTGCTTCCTCACCACCATTTCCCAAGACCCCCAGGGCCCAGCACCAGGAAATGGTCTCCAGTTCCTGGGTGGGGGCACCCAAATCCTTCAGCCCCTGTCGGGCCTTTCATCCACCACCTCATCAGCCCCACGCCTGTTACTCACCCACCCCTCACCGTCCTCTTTTCTTGACCGACCTCAGCTAACTGTCCCCTCCTCTTCTTGGCAAACCCTCAGCACTCCAGCACCTGCTCAGTTCTGCTGCTAACTCTGCCCGCCAGGTTCAAGCCTCAGCTTCCTCACCTGTACAATGGGGATTAGTAACACCTAGCTCCAGGGTGGTAGTGAGGACTCAACAAAAGAAGGTTCACCCCCTTCCCTCTCCTTGTCCCCCTTTCCTCCCCCCTCCTTAATCACTTGGGCAGCCTCACTCAGAGGAACAGCCACCAGCTGATTGAGGAAGGAACCACTCCTCCCTCTTGTCAGCTCAGGCCCAGTTAGTTATCAGAGGCAGATCTTGCTTTGCTTTTTAAGCACTTGCTGTACTTGAGCTGTTCTCTGTTGACATTACAACCCTCTCCATTTACTCTGCAAACAGAGAAGCCCTTTAATGACCTCCGTCTTTAATGACCTCAGGGGACAGGAGGAGACCAGCTGGGCAGGTTGGGGCCAGTCAGCGAGGCATCCCCAAATGTGTTAAACTGCAATCAGGACACAAAGTAAATTTCTAGGACTGGGACACACCTATGTTCAGGTGTAAGTGAGTTTCATACCAGAGCCGAATAGAAAGGATCTGGGGATTAGCTTCCATTTTCAGTGAGTCACATCAGTGAACAAGAGTTGAGTCTACTCACGCTTGTAACTTTGTAAGTAGTTTCTAAAAAATTATTTTAAATAGTTAAGAAATACAAAGAGGCACAAAGAACAATATAACAACACTCATGTGCCTGCCTTCCAGGTACAAAAAAGAAATAAAATATTCTGAGAACTAAATGAAACGTATGATGCTTGATCGAATCCTGGATGGGAAAAACAGAACCAGAAACAGAAGTCATTACTGAGACCATTGGGGGAAATTTGGTTATGAAGCATATATAGGTAACAATATTGTATTGACGTTAAATTTCCTGTGTGTGATCATGACATCACGGATAGGGAGGAGAATGCCCTTGTTCTTAGGAGACACCAGCTACATATTTAAGGGTGATGTGACATGATGACTGTAATTTAAACTCAAATGGTTCAGAAAAAATATATACATGTATGTGTGTGTGTGTGTGTGTGTGTGTGTGTGTGTGTGTGTGTATAGAGAGAGAGAAAGAGAAAGAGAAAGAGAGAGAGGGAGAAATCAAAAGTGGCAAAAATGTTCACAGTTTGTGAACTTGGTGGTGGGGGTATCACTGTATTATATCAACTTGTCTTCAGGTTTGAAATTTTTCAAAATAAAACGTTGGTAGAGGAGAGAGGAGAAAATAAATACGTGCTAATTGTATTTAAAATTTTTAAATCTCAATAAAAACCAAAATAAAATATTCTCAAGGTAGCTGAAGCCCTGTGTGGGGGGCTGTGTGAGGCACCCGATTCTGGGCTTTCTCCTGCCCGTGCGAACCTTTGTACTCTGTGAGTCATCCTTTCTGTGGTTGGGTGCCCAGTTTCTGCCTCCCCACCTGCCAGACAGAAATCCTGGTGATGGTGGGGCAAGCCCAGGCCTTCCCCTGTGGCTCCCTCCCAGGCCACGTGCTGTGCTGGGCACACAGACCGGCTACCTGATGGATAACCCTTCGTCCAAGTCTCTATCTCTTGCCCCCATTTCCAATCCCACATCCTGGACTCACTGTGACACTCCAGTCTTCCTGGAAGTCACATCCTGCAGTGCCTGTGTTTCTCCCCAGGTTTTCTCATGCCTCTTTCACCCGATCTCCCCAGCCTGATCTGTGACGGCCTTCTTGGGGACGTCTCCGTGGTGGGCTGGGGGCCGGGCGCCACTCCACAGACTCCACGTGGCGGGTCTTCCTGGCAAAAACAGCCAGCCCATCATTTTTGTATCAGAACACATTTGACTCTAGGATTGGGTGGACTGCAAAATCTGCATGACTCTTAATGCTAAACTGTAGAACCGTAAAGACACCTTCTGTTTGAGGAGGGCCAGTTGCTGCCAGAGAGCTCTGTGGCCTTTGTCAAGTCACTGTCCCCTCGTTGCAGGTGAGAGTAAAAGTCCCAGGGCTGGTCACCTGGTGGGGTTGCTGGGAGTCATGTGAGATGACAGAGGGGAGAGAGAGGGCTCAGAGAAGTGATCAGATGCAAGGGGTGTGCACAGGTCAAGCCCCCGGGATCAGTAGCTGCCCTCACAATGGGGAATGTGAAGGGAGAGAGGTTGAGCTCCTGCAGTGGGGGCCAGGCCTCAAGCCCCCAGCTGCGGGCCCTCTCCCCCTGCACTGCAGCCTCCAGGTGGCTGGGCCTCTGCCAGCGCAGGGGATGCCAGCTCTGCCTCCATCCCTCTCCTGAAGCTTTCTTTTTCTTCCTCCGGTCTCGGGTTGCTCTCACGTCCCCACCTCCTGAGCCAAGGCACGAACGGGGACCTCCATGCCTCACCTCAGCCCCCAAGCCCCTCCTGCCTGTCCTCCCCCAGGTGGTGTGTGCCAGGTGCTCCGACTACCGGGCTGAGCTCAAATACGATGACAACAGGCCCAACCGAGTCTGCTTAGACTGCTACATGTTCCTCACCGGAAACGCGCTCCCTGAGGACAAGGAGGACAAGAGGCGTGGCATCCTGGAGGTGAGGGCCGGTTTCCTTTACTAGGCAAATGTGTGCATGGCCTCACCAAGTGCTGGCACTGTCCTCGGTGCTGAGGAACAAGCCTGCCATGGTCACACTCCCCGTCCTCTCTCTCTGCCCACAGACAGCCCCCGCCATGGAACACCCCACCCCCCACGCCCGGCCCAGCCCTGGCCAAATAAAACAGAGCTGCGCCTGTCACCAAATAGAAGCAACTTTTGGCTCCAGGCTGTGGCCCAGGCTCTCCACCTTTCCTCTGCATCCTCATCCGATAATCACACGGCCCCTCTGGACCACTCCTGTTCATATCCCCATGCCCTGCCCTAGCAGTCCCAGGAGGTGAAAAGAGCTGGTGCGGCTGATTCCATTTTACAGATGGGGATACTGAGGCTGCAGGCTAGAGTCCCACTGCAGGGAAGAGGCAGCCTCAAGACTCCATTGTAATTGGAAGGGACTTCAGGGACCAGCTGGTTGGAGACCCAGGCCCAGAGAAGTGACCAAGGTCACATAGCGAGTTAGGAACCAGCTCTCTGATCTCTACCACAGATGTTCTCTGCTGTCCTTGGGGCTGAGCCACTCCCCACCCCCAGCCCCAGGCACTCTCAGGCTGCTCCCACTGCTGGTCAGCACCTCTGGGGCACTGGCACCCAGCCTAGACACTGGTTACCCCTGCCCCTCTGCCACTCCCTCATTAAAGCCAGGTTGACATCCCACTGTCCTCGGGAGGTGGGAGAAGACCCCAGCCTATTCCAGCTGAACTCAGCTCCCAGGTTCAAGTTGGTTCCTTTCCACTGACATCTGCCCACTTTCCAATTCTCCCTCATTCTTTTAGGCCCCGGCCCTGCCCATACCCTCCCCAATCACTAGACCATACCACACAGCTTTTGCTCCTGGGGAGAGGAAATGGTCTGCCCCTTTTCAGGCTCCAATTCTGTTCCCTGGGGCAGCTCTCGGGATAAGCCCTCCGTGCACCTGCGCAGAGGTCAGGCTGGCTGAGGTTTGACTGCAGCTCTGCCACTGGCCAGCTCTGTGACTGCAAGTCCCTGATGGGACCTCTCTGAGCCTCAGGGACAAATAACACCTCCTTGCACAGTTGCCGAAAGGTTTAGAAAGAGTGATTTCTAGTGACCGACATCTGTCAGGTAGTGGGTGCTCTGTTCCCTGACAGTCCCTCTCTCTGGTTTCAGAAAGGAGCTGCAGCGGGGTCCAAGCAGAGCCTAATGTGCAGCTTCCTACAGCTCCTCGGGGACAAGTGGGGCAAGAGTGGGTCCCGGGGCTGGTGCGTGATCCCCCAGGATGACCCCCTCGTGCTCTATGTCTACGCTGCCCCTCAGGTAATGCCACACCCTGCCCCTCCTCACAGTATGTGTGTGTGTCAGGGGTGGCGGTGGGGGTGAGTACTGTTGGCCCCATAAGTCAGATGAGGCTCAATGAGGACCTGGTTCCCTCAAGTCTCAGGGTTAGTGGCTTTCAGAGCCGGGCCCAGACTCCAGGTCGCGACTGCTTTGCCCTCAGGGGGTGACCAGTCCTCTTCTTCAATGCCCTCCTGCCACCCCACCCCACTTCATGGGTTTTTGGGGGGCAAGAGGCAGGTGTGTGCCTGGTACCTTCCAAACAGCCGTCTGAGGCAGTGGCGCCGAATGGGAGGACAGCGGCCCACAGCTCTGCCCTCCCCTCCCAGGACATGCGGGCCCACACCTCCATCCCCCTGCTGGGCTACCAGGTGACCGCTGGGCCCCAGGCGGACCCCCGGGTCTTCCAGCTGCAACAGTCAGGCCAGCTCTACGCGTTCAAGGCCGAAACCGAGGAGCTGAAGGATCGCTGGGTGAAGGCCATGGAGCGGGCGGCCAGCGGCTGGAGCCCCGGGGGGCCCAACGACAGGGACCTGTCTGACTGAGCCACAGCGGGGCCCTCTCCCCCCTTAGAGCCCTGCTCCTGCCACGCACGGGCTGACGCTTCAGCTGACCCACCACCACAAGCTGAGCTTTCAAAGAATCGATTTCCAGTTGTCTGTGTTCAGACTGTGTGTCCTGATTTGAGATTCAGAAAACATGGGTTCATTCCTTTGGGGAGGGGATGACGAAGCATCCCAGTTTGCCCAGGGCCGAGGGGATTCCTGGAACATGGGACTTTCAGTGCTAAAACTAGGAGAGTCCCAGGTAACCCAGGACTGTTGGTCACCAATGTGGTTCACAGGCTGGCTGCACATATGTATCACCTGGGAAGCTTTAAAAGATACCAACAAATAAATATAAAAATAAACTAAAAATCCAGACAATACAATGCCTGTGGACCCATCACCAAAGATTTCTGATTTGACTGGTCTGGGATGGGGAGGCATGGGTATGTTTTAGGAGTACCCATATGAGTCTGATGTGCAGCCTAGGTTATACGGATGAAGAACAAAGCAGGCAAACTACCAAGTGCTAGGCATGAGATTAATAATAATAACAAATATCAAACATCTACTGAGGCAGGCACTGTTCTAAGTGTTTTACATGGATTATCTTGTTTTACCTTCAGGACTTATAATCCCTATTTTCCAGATGAGGACACTGAGTCTTAGAGAGGTTTAGTCATTGGCTCAAGGTCACACAGCTGGTGGATGCCAGAGCCAGGTTTTAACCTAGTGCACTAAGGTGAAGGCTCTGTCCATCGGGTAGCAGAGCAATTGGCTGAGTAGAAAAGGAGAGGAAAGAGGGAAGGAAATGGGGAAAGACAGGAGGGGAAAGGTAGGAGCAGGAGGAGAGAGGAGGAGCATCTCTGGCTGGTGGGTGAGGCTGCTTTTTCATAAGGGACCACCAGGGGGTGGCAATGACCAGCAGGCCACATCCAGGGACCCCAGCCGGGGCCCTGACACCCGAAGCCACGTCCATCAGGCCCATCTGCTGCTGGGCTCTGCCCCTGATGAAGGTGAGATAGACCAGTCATAGATCTTTGTCCCCTTCTAGGCCCAGCAGTTTGCCTACCCCCACCCCCCAACCTGAGGCCACCTCCCTTCCGTAGGGTTTTTTTTGGTTTTTTTTGCGGTACGTGGGCCTCTCACTGTTGTGGCCTCTCCCGTTGCGCAGCATAGGCTCCGGATGTGCAGACTCAGCGGCCATGGCTCACGGGCCCAGCCACTCCGCGGCATGTGGGATCTTCCCGG